GGTGCAAACAGCAGGCCCACTGCCCATCAGGATGGACTGAGCCTAACAGTGCCGGCGTTCCTGCTTGTGTGCCTCAGTCTGGGTGCTGCTTCAGAGTCCTCCAGTTAGCAAAGTAATGAAACAAATTTACCCTTTGCATTTCAGCCACGGTTTTGTGGGTGTTCTGGCTGCCTATGTGTGTCGACTCACACACGTATACCTTGAAACAATCTACTCCCAGCATACCTAGCCGTTTCTCTCCATTCATATTCTTCTCCATCCCTGAAGTAAAGTTCATCCATTTCAGTGAAGAGATCATGAGGAATGTGTTCATCGTCATCTTCAGTACCCAAGATAAACTGCACCCGTTGAGATGGTGTGTCTTGAAGAAAAGGAGAAACTTAACAATTAAAAGAATTCATACTTATATTATACAAGAAACACTACATAACAGTAAAAATTCCTGCTCTCAGTTAGAAACATGCAGCACAACATCTTCTTTAAGAGGGAAGAGGAACAAAAGAAACATGGACATTTCTTTAAAAGGAGGCTCTCTGAAAATTTTGCATTGTTTCTGAAAACAAAACATCTGAAAACTTACGTTCATGAAAAGTAATTAAGTATTTTTAGCGCTTCCATAGATTGCCAATGTGAAAAAAAAATCAACAGCAAAACTGGTTAAAAAAAGTAAAAATTAATAAACCAAAAGGCTAGAAACCTTATTTTCATTCTGAAAACAAAATAAATGATACCATCATAACACAGACACTAATTACAGGAAAAAATGAGAAAACAAAACAGGCTGTTGGAAAAAACCAGCCCAAATAATAGCTGAAGATACTCAGTTGTGAGTACCTAGGTACTCGTACTGTTAAAGCAGAAGACTTTTCTATGGCCTGTTGCTACTAACATAGGATAAGAAAAAAATTAATTTTTTCATTGTGTAGTTGGAGCACTATGTATAAATTAGCATAGCAAAGCAGAAGCTATGCAGCTAAAGTGTTGAGGAAATATTTTACCTTCTCCTAATATAATGCCCATTGGAATAGGCTCAGTAAAAACTTGTAAGGATATTAAACAATCTCTATTGATTAAAAGTAAGTACTGGATTTCAGTGCTATGACCAAAACTTTAAAAAAAACCCCACCAATAAAAGCACATGGGTTTAGATACTTTTAATACCTATATAAAGATTTTGTTTCAACTCAAATTACAACGGTTCAGTAATGTAGTAATTATAGTGTTATCTCAGGAAGGTCAGAGACCGAAGATCCAGGTAAATCTCAATTTTAAAAATTTTACTTTTTTCACTGAAACATCACTCTCACAGCTATGAGATGTGAACATACAACTGTATGCTTCTAGTGTAGGAGGAAGAGCACCCTTTAGATTTAGACATAAGATCTGAATTACTAACAAACTTCATTCAAATTTGAATTTTGCTTATGCATTGATGTTCTGGCACAGCTCATCATCCAGTAACAGTTCTGAAATGAGCTCTTTTGAATGCAAACAACATTCATTATCAGACCCATAGCAGATTGTTTCCGTCCCAAAACCAGTACACCCCAAGAATCCTGCCATAACCTATGTATCCAGGATAGATAAAGAAGTAACCAGAACAGAGAACTGATTTTCTATCAATTTAATATCACTTGGTGCTTCAAAAACCGTACAGCAAGACTCTACAAACATAATGTCAATTATAATAATTTACATTTGGGAGGGGAAACCTTGAAGATGGATGAAACCAAGAACCAGAGGAGAATGGCAAAAGGAAAGTTGTCAAAGCATTTTCATTGGAAGACTCCTTTTTTTCAGGTATTGGCCCCGTGAAGAATATGGTTCTAGTTATAGAAAGGTAATAGTGAATAGCATGATGTCCACACTGGAATTCAAACACTGCAGTGTAGCCTGCCCATTCACTGCAGTCTAGGAATAAAAGTGGACATAGGGTCTTGAAGAAAAACTGCTAAGAGTACTGCCAAATAATTTCATTTCAGAGAATGATAAGAAAAAATTATCATCTCTTGAGGATAAGAGGTAGACTGGGGGGCAGTTTATGATCCAAACCACAAACTTAGGAGGCAGTACAATTCCCTTACTAACAGACAGCAAAAAGGCTGAAGTAAATACTTAGATCATTGATCAAATTACCATGGCAAAAGCTGCTTCACAGCTACATTCTTACTTTTAAAAATCAGACGAAGAAGCATACACGACTACACAATCTGAAAAAAGGTGTCTAATTTAAATAACACAGATTTTCATGCTACAGGAGAGCATTACAAAGCTCTAGTCTAACCTATTCAGTGCAGGCTGCTGAACATTCATGTGGACAGCTGGACCAAGTCCAATAGCTTATGACTTAGATAAAACACAACCACAAAATCCTTGTCTGGTTGTACACAGAAAGACGTTAATTACAGAGAGAATAAAAGAAATAGCACAAAACAAGCAACATTTAAGCAGAGTTAACTACTACAAGTTTATTTTCAAGAGAGGCAAAGAACTCGCACAACAAATTTCTTACCATATGATGGAGATTCTCGGCCATCCTCTCTGTCAGTTTCTTTTTCTTTTTTCCTTCTGTGATGCCTGTGCCCACGATGTCTATGCCGTCGACGGCCTGGCTTTCCAAGTGGGACATGAACTCCAATATACACAGCTCTGTGGCCTGTTTAAAAGGAAATAATTAAAGAAAAACTGACCTGCTGCCCATATTTAGCATCTAAAGACAAGGGGTTTGAGAAAAAGAAATCCAAAAGCACTAGACAAAACTACCTGTAGTAAACTACTAAGAGCATTTCGTTTCTGTCATCCCAGGGTGTCAAGTAACTAGTGCTAGACTCATTTCCCTGATAAATTGGGCCATATTCTTACTCAGTTTAAAAATTCAATTGGGAAACAAGTAATACATAAATACAAGCTTGACCAATAACTCTGAAAGAAACTACTGGATAAACATGAAGCCAAGGCAGAGGAATCACACAATGCTCCTCTTTTTTGCAGGGATTCATATCAGGACAGTCACTAGAATGGCATAAATGTAATCTCCTGGTTCAGCTTATTAACATCATTAAGAAACTGACCCATCATTTAGAGTCTGCAAGGAGTTTTCTCTTCCTGAAAGAGCTGCCAACATTTCCTCAAGTAGCATGTGACACATCTAGATGGAACTGATGTTCAATTATACCATTAATTTACTATCAGGAACATAATAAGAACTTATGTTTTGAAGTGTATGCCAACACCTCAAATAACTTACAGAGAGGTTGATGGTTTTACCGTATCTCCTGTAATGGAGATAGCATATACAATAGCATTTCAATTCCTATTTAAACAAACAATCTCCGGAAGAGACATATTAACTAGAAGCCTGGAGGTTAACGCTAAATATTCTGTTTCATACTGCAGAAGAGTTATTTCAGAAGACTGACATTAACCAAAGGAAAAGGAAGTGGTTTTCCAGCTCTTAGACAAATTCAGCAAATTTACATGACACAAGCAAGCCCTAGGAGCTGTGACTGTACACATACATGCACATATATATGTGTGTATAGAACACACAGATTAGACTGAAGATATTGAAAAATCCCGGTGATTAGAGTTTTAAAGAAATAAAAAGTGGTAGGACGTCAAACTTGTTTACCAAAAAAGAATCCCTAAGCTTAAAAAGATACTGGCTTTATAGAAGTTTTGTGTATTTTTACAGTGCTACATGACTAAAAATACAAGTAAAAATCAGTATTAACACATGAGTAAGTTCAATGTTTAATTAATTTGGTCAAGATTCCTTTTCACGTAACAAAACCCAATTCTTGACAGACTTCCAATACCAGTTTAATTAGAGTCAACTGACTGGCACTATGACCAAGTCTGAAATTAAGTATATTAAAAGCTATTTGTTTCCATGAGTGGAAAAGAGATTCATTTATAGAGTCCTATTTATAGAGAGAGACTTGTCTTTTGTGAGCTTCTTCCAACAGGAATACCCAGCCCCTGCTGGGCAGCCTGACCTCCACCCTCCATGACTGCTATTGCACAATGCAATTCCCAGAGAACTTAATGCCAATGTGACATAAATCAGTGCGCTTGGTATATAATATGACCAGGAGGCATCGTTAGCTATGGTCATGTTATTGATACTATCATGATACAATAATCTTATGCACAGAGAAAGCAAACGTAGTAGGCTCAAAAATAATTGTGTTACTCACCACATCCCACTCAAAGCTGCCTGGTGCAACCTAGCGAGCCACCACTCACTGCAAATGTTGTTATCATGCCTGTTGAGATTTCTGTTTTATTTTATAAGTTCAACTGGCAATTATTAAACTACAGTTTACATATACAACTAAACGGTTCTATTCGTTGTCAAAGTGTTGAATTTTTTTGCAGGAACTATCTCCTCCTAAGAGAAACTCCAGCATTCTTCTACCAATAGAACATTTTATATAATTCCTTGTTTTAATATTGTTAATAAGACTGTTAAGCATGTGTTTTGAACATTGCACACACAAAAAAAACCCCTTGCAGTAATGTGAAACTGTTCAGGATTTTACTTCCTGAAAAATTGGAAGGACTTCCACATTTTGGTCTCTTGCTTTACTCATAAATTAGAGACTAGGATTCCACACTGTTTTCTGTACTCAATAACAAACAAAACTCCCACACAATTTCTTAAAGGGCCTCCATCTTCAACAATATAGCCTGCTATTGCAAAAATTGGCATTTGTAATAGTGTGATCATTCCCACAGTCAAAGACTACAGCATGAAGAGGAGGTAGAACAAGCAAATGAGGAGTCTATGTCCTTATGAGGAGTCTATCTCCTTTTACAAAATTGCAATCTGACAAAATTTTTTTCAGTAGAAAAGTCTGAAGAAGAGCAGATATGTTGCAAAGGGACAGGTAAAACCTATGGAAAGCCAACCTGAAATAAGCAACAAAACAAAGGTATTTTTAAACAACCTGTGTCCATAGCAAATTCCTTTCCCACCAAAATGCACTGACCTCTCAGCTATGACTACCACAGAATCAAGTCCTGGTGCCTCATGGCTGCCTCAAGGCACACGAAGTAGGCACTGCCAGTCAGTCAGCCCACAACCTACAACACTGACATTGCTTTTCAACTCTGAAAGTAAACTTTAAAGAACCCACCTTCTTGCTACCCTAGCAAATGAGGGTCTCACAAAGACAGGGAAACATAGACACAGTCTTGCAGGCAAATGAAAAAACAAGAATACCTTCCCCAAACCACTTCTGTATATGCAAAGTGACTGCTACACCTGCAACGGTATCTTGGGACGATATGAAATGTTGATGAGTAAGATGATTTGCAGTGATGATTAAGTAAAATGCATCACAATCCAAGGTAATTCTATCAGAATAACTTGAAGAAAAAACTTGATGTTGAAAAAGAGCCTCTGAATTATTTTTCTTTTTCAGAGCAAGCATTGGGGGTGGCAGTACAATAGACTAAGACAGTACACCAGACTGTTGCTTAAGAAAGGGACTGTTTTTCAGTATCACAAACAGTCAAAAATAAAGACATTTCAACTACTACCTAGGAAATCCAAAACTATTACTTTTGAGTATACTGCCATTATTACACAAAAACATGTTGCAGGTATATTCACTCCAAAGGTAGGGCAAAACTAGATAATAAAATATGGACAGGCTTAACTTTGATTCTAACTCAACAAAGAAAAGCACTGAGAAGCCCTCTAAGAATAAGACAGCTGCATTGAGTAGGTCAGTGTTCCCTTGAGTTTCGTTATTCAGATAGGAATAATAATATTTGGAGGTGGACAGATAAAGATTTACTTACAAACACAATTTACAAGGAAAAGCAAAACAAAACAAAAGCACAGGGATTTTTTTTTCCTTCAGTCCCAATGAACTGGATGAAACAACCCATAGTACCCTTCAGCCTAGCAAAAAAAAACCAACAAACAAACAAATAATAAAAAAAAAAAACCTCATACCATGCCCACACAACCAAAAAACCCAACCAACTAAAAAAAACATGCAGAAAGGCAATTAATATAAAATTATTATAACAGCAATAAAGAAAAAGTTAGCTCTAAAAAGGCTGGAATGTATATTTCTAGCATCACTGTTATTTCTAAAAGGAACACTACCTTTTACTTGAATATTGTTTTTTAAAAGCTTGAAAAGTACAATTATGTGACCTTCAAAGCTTTATTCACATAAATGTCTGTACCACAGTACAACTTTCAAGCAAAGCTTCTTACAGAATTACTATAAACCAATAATCAATAGAATTAGTAGACTGCCCAATACTAAATTTAGTAATACAAAGCTCAAGAGATAATTGCTCATTTTAATCCAACATGACTTTATCCAAGCTTAGCTGTTCAAATCCACCAAGAGCATTTACTACTTAAGGCCCTTATCAGTATGAAACAAATTTAAATGTTAGGAACTTGCAACATCTCTATCACATGGTTGGTATCTCTCCAAAAGTAAGTTTGTTTAAAGTCCTTTAAAATTCACAAAAAAGAAAATCCTTTAAGTTTCCCAATTTCTCCCCAAAGCTCCTATGAAAATGGTAATAGAAGACTTCTGAAGTCTGAGATCAAAAACATGTATCCAAAAATCCTCTGATATGGCAACGCTTGAAGTACAATTCCACACAGAACTTTCTCTTTTCTTTGGCTAGATGCCTTTTAAGCTTCATACAAAGAATAATATTCTTCCACCACATGTTAATAATGGAAAAAAATTCAAGTGTATATCTATGTGAATTCTCAATTCCTGTTACTTAGAAATTTGAACTAAGAGAGATCATATATTACTGATGGATGTAAGGACCATCAGAGAGGTGAGCTACCTGGTCCAATCTTGCTCAAAGTACAGCCAACTTCAAAGTTGAAGCCATCTTTTTGATCAGGTTGGTTAGGACGACAACCTGCCAAGCTTTTAGTACCTTTAAGGATATATATTCTACAGCCTCTCGGGCAACCTATAACAATCTATAGCAATATACTGCATGAAAAAAAATTTCTTAAGTATTCAATCATCACTTCCAATACTTCATCTTCATGTGGTTCCCCTCACCCTTTCACAATGCACCTCCAACAAGTCTGACCCCATCTTCTCAATAAACTCCCAAGTCTGCTGAAGACAAAAACTTTGTGACAAGAATTACTATTTTTTTCTGAAAGTCTTCAAATAATAATCTGAAGATATATCATTTATTTTAAACAGAAGCCTTTATTTAATCAAATAATGTCTTTGTCTATCTTGCCCCAATACAAAGCATTCCATTATGAAAAAACTGGAGAATCTGCAGGAGAGATCCTAATTTGTTCCTTTAGATCATAAAATGGGGGAAAAAAACCCAGCTGTTTTGTTGCCTCTTAACTGACATCCCTAAATGCATTACCCTAGTAGGAAAGATTTGGAACATAGCATCTCATGCCTTGACATTAATTTCTCTTACGTCACAGAGTACTTGTGTGCACAAAAATAAGCTCAACGCAATCTATCAGCACAACTTCTACCTTTTCAGTCACAGGACTGCTCTGAAGGTAGAAGCACACAAATGGGAAAAATTACCTAAAGTGGATGCAAGAAATAAGCGTGAGAACAAAAAAGTCTTTTCATGCCCCAAAAAACTTCACAACCCACAGGTCTTCTCCAAATAGTC